TCCCCACCAGGATTTCAGCACTTCCTCTTTGTTACGTTCCCCTTGATCATGCCCTACCAGGTCTTGGGACAGTTTTTATGTGGCCTTTCTCATCATAGTCTTATAACTTCTACCAGAAGATTGGGTGGGGCTATGCAAATAAGGTGCTTATAGTGCTCCAAGTCGATTGGACAGCTTACTAATAATGCAAATAGGCTGCATGACACCCTGTTGGAGTGAAACCATGCAAATAATGTACATAGAACCCTAATCAAAGGATTGATCAGTTTTGCCATCCTGTTAGGCTTAAAATGAACCATCCCAGAGGCAGAAAGGGGGAGCTCACTGCCATCAAGAAGCATCAGGGGTGGAATGTGTCCTTTGGACCTGAAGTCTCTGCACCGAAAGAGAAAGATCTTTGCTGACACCAGAGATGGCAGGAGACAGTAAGAAGCATCAGCAGAGATATAGGGGCACAGAACCAGGAAGCCAATGCAAGCAGCACAATGGGCTTCCTGGCCCACTAAGCAAAGTGTTGCCAACCCACATAATGAGGGAGCTAGGTGCCTTCAAGCAGGAGGTTTCCTTGCAGATTGACAATCATCTAGACATTTATCAGAGGAGCTAAAGAACTTTCCACATTTGATAAGCAGGACAGAGGCCAGCCCAAGGAGCTCAGGAGCTAAGGGGCCAAAGGAGGAACATGACTGTGAGCACTGCGAAAGAACTGTCCTGACCAAAAAACTGTGTCATGAATTGTTCCTGTGTTAGATTCTGTTGACTAGAGAAACAAATCAAGTGGCACACGTATTAAGAAGTAACTGTGTATCAGGAAAACATCCCAGCCCAGTCCAACACAAGTCCGTATGTCCAATACTAGTCCATCTGTCCCTCTTAAGACTCATGCAGTCACATGCAATGATGCAAAATGCTGGAACATCTCCAGCTGGTGTGTGCAAAGTCCTGTGGATCCAATGGCAGTGGATGCATCTTCAGGGTTGGCGCAGGTCTCAGTGTGGCTCAACAGGAAGGTAAAGGCAAAGAGAGAGAGAGGTTCCCAGGACCCTTCTTATGAGGCCAGGTCCACAAGGAGGCTGTGATCTGATTGACAGGCTAGACTCCACCCCTGCCCTTTTATATATCTTCAAGTTGACGTGGAATTAGGTAACTACCACAGTTCCTGATCCTGAATTATAATCTATCACTTCCCTAACAGACCTCATACTTTTGAGTATGTTCTGTGGCCCTTGCAACACATTATTGAACTTGGCAGAGAAGTGGAGAATGCTGCAGAAAGGGCATTTGTCATAATTGGGGGGAAAATGGAAGAGAGGAATACACTTGATCTCCCCCCTCATAGTACTCAGCCTTGGGAAGTAGATCTTGAGACTCTTCCTACTTGGGAAGATGCCATGCCATTTTCACATCCACTAAGCTTAAGAACAAAGAAAACAAACCAACGATTTCCACAATCATTTCTATTAATTGCCCTTGTGACTTGAGTCAGTGCAATAAGTAGAATTGTATTGTGCCCCATAGAGTTTTCAATGACTGGCTTATTTAGAAAGAGATCACCAGTCCTTTCTTCCAAGGCACCTTGAGGTAGACTTGAACCTCTAATCTTTTAGTTGGCAGATAAGGACATTGACTTGGGAGAAATCTTGGGGATTATTTAATACAGTCTTTTTATTATTATCATTTCCTTATCATGACCCACCGAAAGAAAACACTTTATATCAAAACTCAGTGCACCCCAAAAATACTTGAATATATGAGGGAGCTTCAAAAAGTTCATTATTTGATTATCTTTTAATTCCATTGTTTCCACAAACCTTTTGAAACCTCCCTGTATATGGTTAAAACAAAGTTTTCCCTAAAATGATACCCTTGCTAAACTCAATATGGCACTTGTGTGTTTTTTATTCTGTTTTAGTCTTTGTTATTGGTCATAAGCCACACC